ACTGCAAAATTGCAATTCTCCCATACAGTAATATAAAATATGCCTCAAATGGAATTTTATATATAAATTTCTTAACAACCAGACAAATCTGAGAACTATTGTTTTAATTATCAGTGGGACACCTGCCTGTCACTATTAGCCAAGAGCAGTGTTCTTGTATGATACATTTGGTCCTTTCTCCTGCAGATAAACTTGCAATTTCACCATGTGAAGTCTGTAGAACACTGCTTCCCAGATTAGTAAGTTGTCTTGTTGCTATTTCTATTTTGAAGAAAAGGGTTGCCTTTCCTCAGGAGATGCACGCTGACAAAAGCATTTTGCAAATAAGCATGAATTAAAGTCAACTTCATGCACTGCAATGAAGGAATCTCCTACACAGGGGGGAGCCCGAGCATTCTCTGGCTGCTGTCGGGGGCTGGGAATACGGCAGCAACGCCGGGAGCTGCGGGCAGAGTCACGCACAAGTGCAAATGCATGAAAAGGTGGACAAAGGTGATTGCATGAGGCTTTGGTGGATCGATTGCCAACTTGTTCGTCACCCTTTTCTGCCCTTCACCACTCAAAGCAAGCTTAGTACTTTATCTTTTTGGTTATTTTAAAGGCATTTGCTATCAGAATCTTAGTCTAATGGCTACTTTCTCTTAGCTTTAGAAAAACAGGCTTAGTTTAAAAGAGAAACACGTGAATGCCAATTATGTAAATAATTAATGCATTTTAGGGATTGATTTCTGAAAGGGAAAAAAAGAAGATAATTTAATGCAAAGACCGTCAGAATAGATGACTTCCACAACTGGAAATATTCTTTCCTTTGAACTGCCTTGAGATACTGAAAAGCTTTAGCTCTTTATTTTCTGTAAGATGCTGCGCAGGTAAAAGTACTTTGAAGACTACAAAGAATAAAAAAAAGTTTGAGGCCTTACTCTTCTGAGAGATTGAAGCAGCTGATAAGAGCAGCGACAGCTAGTCATCTGACCCAGAAGCTACTTCCTTGGCAAATCTGCAGCATGGCACAGTTGCCTGAGTTACCCTTTTGCGTTGATGAAAATTCAAACACTATCTGCTCAGAAGAAAAAGCCACAGAGAGACCTCACCAGGAGGTTTACCCCTGAGGACGGTGGTCTGGCACATTTAACGCTGCTTGGGGCAAGAAGCACTCCCCAGCAGCTCCAGAGAATATTTCCTTAATGTTTCCATTAAACCAAAAAGGGTTTTTCAAACTTTTAGCAACTTCTATCAAGTTTGACAGTAAGTCAAATACGGGCCACCTCTGCACTCTTTATTGCAAATAAGACAAGGCACATGCAGGGTTACATTAAGACAAGCATAGTCAGGCCATCAAATCCATGCAGTCCAATAAAGCTGGTAATCCCTTTCCTTCACCTGGCCAGAGGCAGGGCCCCTCTATTCCTAGACAGTGTTTTCATTACCTGATTCTTCTAACTGCAAACCAGAAGTTCCTCATTCGGGTCAGAGGGAGTATCAGTCCTTCTACACTGTCTGGGGAATTGCCCAAGAGCAACCGGAGTGGTAATTTTCCTGTATGGGTACTTTTTGGTCACCATTATTCCTTGCAATTCACATACCCCATGTTTGAGGCATCCCAATTCCTCATGTTCTCATGGTCATGCAGACAGAACCAGAGGGTGGCACATAAATGTGCACATGGTAGCCTCCCCCTTGAGCAGAGAAAGCTCACCTGTTAGCCTAGATGATGGCTGGCACGGACAAGGAGGAAGACATACTGTCTTTGAATAGCTGGAACTGTTGGGACAGTCTCTCCCCAGCCAAGACATAGACCTGCAGGGTTGGGGTGGAAGAGAGATGTCTGGCCAAGTCATTAGCACCAGGGTGCTCCATACAAACTTCCACTGTATGGACCATAGGCATGGGACTTCATCTGGGTCTTTCGATGCCTGGTTGTTGTTCAGGCTGCTGCAGATCACCTCTGCCACTAATTCCCTCAGACACTGGAAACCACTCAGTAGTTGTCCACTCTTGCCTCAAGAGTTTATAAGGTCTTCCTCGAGGGGATACTTTTCCTTGGAGCTCAACAGCAGCTGTCTCCAGAGGCTGCTTTTTGCTCCTTGTACAATCCCTTTGTTGATGCCACAATCCTTTGTGAGAGATCCCAGCTGCTGGGCCTCCTTGCTCTCCAATTTCTGACTGTTGGCTACAGTATCCCAGCATTGCAGCAGCCAGCTGGTAATGAGCTCACCAGGCTGATGGCTATAATCTTTGTGTGTATCTTGAAGCTAACTCAGGGATAAGGAGCTGGTGATTTCTGGCTTGTTCATGATTTCTCCTTTTCCTCCTGTTCTTGTGACTGTTCTGCTGCAGAGCTGTCTGCCTCTCCAATCCTCCTCCTGCTCCCTCTTGGGAGAAGCTTCCTTCCTGACTGAACAAACTGACTTCTGCCTCCATTGTTTCTTCTTGACTACAGGGGCAACTGATACAGTTGAGAGTTGGGTCTCTGGCTCAACTATGGTGCCTGTTTGTATGTCTTCAGACACAGAGACCGCCTTTCCCCTCTAAGGGTGCTGAACAGTTCTTGGCAGGCTTAGGCCAGGCCCAGCACAGTGTGAGAAGCTGTGTCTCTTTAGCTAGCCAGGGCGTCCTTTTTTCAAATGTTCTGTCATGTTATCAGGATCCTGCACTTGTTTGGGGGTCAAGTCCTACATCGTCGGAGGGAAAAAGTGATCTAGATACCTTGCCACCCACAACTACATGGCCTCAGGACACTCCTAAATATTCAGTTAATCCTACGAAAAGCTGGATACAGATTCTTGAGGCACACTGATGTGAGCATTCTGATTACCCAGGGGTGCTCAAAATACTGGAGAGTCCTTGCAACAAGGTGGAAAACAACTATCCTGTAGGAGGTGAAGGGGAGGGTGCCATTCTTTGTTTTCTCCACAAACTGTCTCTCAGATAAAAAGAGAGAAAAGGTGTAATTGTTAATTATCTCCATGAGATGGTTCCCAAAGTACTGGGACAGCAGCAATGCAGAGCCCAAATATCAGATTAGGCTCAGGGCCAGTGCTTTTATCAGTTCTCCAAGGCAAAACAGAACCAAGTGCCACACAGCATAGCAAACTGCAGAGGACAAAACCAGTCTTCAACAAGCTCTCGAGTTGTCAAGCTCACTCTTGAGCATGACAAGGAGTGGGTACGGAAACAAATAAACTTGCATTGAAAATGAGTAAGTCAACATCATGACCAGCAATAGCTAAACAAGTACATTAAGTTCCCTCTAGCACATTCCAGTCAAATGTCATTATCTTGTGAGCCCTACGTGTTCCATCCTGGGTACCAAAAAGGACTGTGGTGGCTGGCAGCTAAGCATCTCACAGCTGCTCACTCACTACCCCCCACAGTGGAGTGCACTATACATTTTAGTTCTGTGTAGTGAAAGGATGGATAAAGTCCCTTATAGAGGTATTTTCTGGGATGAGATGAAGCACATCTGTGTTAAGCATATCTAACCAAGTTAAGATTTGGCACATCCTGCCCTCTGTGCCCAGCACAGAGGAACAGCGAGCAGCATTCCTCTCCTTCCAACTGAGGGAAGATGGAGGTTAGAACGCGACTTGCTCCTTTACTAAAATCCTCAGTGTGCAAAACCATTCAAAGAGTGTTTAAAAGCAGGTAAGGGGACCTGGAGACTAAAAAGAGATGCTTTTAATAACGTTAAGGCATTTTTAGTAGACTGTTTCCCTTTGGTATTTGCGAGTGCTTCAGCTCAGCAAGCATGGGTGAGGGCAAGGAGACTCTCAGACCAGAACAGAGTGAGCTTTGTACTGAACTACTTCTGTTCCTTGAGCAGTTTGAAGCTAATAAAGGTAGCTTTTGACCTTCCTGAAGGTCAAAAATATTGTGGGAAACTGAAATTGATGCCACCAATAAAAGACACATTTTTAATAGATACTTCTGAAAATTCATAACCATTAACGGATTGGGAGGTGTCTCCAGACTCATATCCAGAGCAGGGCAACAGTTAGAAAATTTGTGGGTTGAGTTAAAGACAGTTTAATAGATAAAAGGGAAAAAAATGAAAGCAAAACAACAAAAAACAAGTGATACAAAGCAATCACCACAAGTTGACTGATGTGCCAACACCTCCAGGCAACAGACCCCCTGGAACATCCCAAACACCCCGTCCTCAGTTTTTATTGCTGAGCATGATCTTATACGGTGCACACTAGCTCAGAGGTCAGTTGAGGTCAGCTGGCCCAGCTGTGTCCCCTCCCTGCCCCTGGCCCACAACCAACCCCCTCACTGGGTGTCAGAGTGAGAAGCAGAAAAAGCCAGTGCAACCACTGCTGAGCAATAGCTAAAGCATCAGCAGGCTGGCAATGCTGTTTGAGCTACATATCCAAAACATGCACTGTAGAGGATGCTACAAAGAAAATTAAATCCATCACAGTAAGACCCAGTACACTGGGCTAGTTTTTAATTCAGTCTGGTCTAAAAAGCAGTTGGGACCTTGTCCTGTATTTTGTGCATCAGTGGAATGGTCCAGCAATTCCATACCTGAGATAAACTCAGAGAAGCAGCCAACAAGTATGTCTGCTTGAGTAGCTGGTTGACTGAAGTAAATGGTGTGAATGCCTTCCTCAGCTGCCCCTCAGACCACAGGTCTCCCTCTCCCTGACCACCTTTTAGAGGTTGGTGGGGAAAAGGAATCAAGGGACAAAAATAAGACCAGAACAGCCCCAAAATCACACCATTGCTCAGAAATTATATGAGGTGTGAGGAGTATATTAGTACACAGCAATAACTAATTCACTCAGTTTGACAGATGGCTATAATAGTTTGCTTGTAGTTTACCTGGAGGAAACAAGACAACAAAAAATCCTGAAGAATTATAGATAAATATCTTAATTATAAAATTAATTAATAATATTGATAGGAGATAATTCACATTTTTTTTTAAATTAAGGTTGAATCATATAAGAGCAATCAGAACATTCTGGTGATAAAAATACAAAAAAAGAAAGTAATTAATTTTTTATTATTCTCCTTTATTGGTAACAACTATAAATAAAAACTTGTACTTTCATGAAAAAATAAACCAGGTGTACATGGGTTTGCAGTATGTTTGATGTTTCTTTCACAAAACTGAATTGAGGTGACTCAGAATATCTCCAGCATATCCACGTTTCTTGCAGCCCTAAATCATTATGAACCAATTAACACAGATGTAAGACAAAGACAAGATGATGTATGGCTCTTACTATACGTAATATGTAAAAACCAGAGACAAAGAAAACTGAAATATGACTCTGAATTCAGGTATTTATTTAAAGCATGTTTTATGTTAGCAGAACTTCAAGGAACTTCACAGGTAACTGCCTGGGATAATCCACGCTTCTCAGTGCTTCTCTTCTGCCTCCAGTCTTCCTGCTGTGGCAACAGCACCAACTCACGGAGAAGTGCCAGAGTCTTGGGATGAGAGAAAATGAAGGTAAGAGAGGGCAGGTAAAAGAGGAAGTGTAAGCAAGAAGGGGTCAGGTGTTGAAGCCATTCTCCAGAACAAAGCAAGTCCTGATTTCTGGATGTTGTTCCCAAACAGAGGTTGTGACTCAAGGTTGCTTATTATGCATAAAATATTATGGTATAATGTGGGCAGAATGTACACAGAGTACATCATGCGGGATGTATTTTCAGTATACTTTTAGAGGATAGAGTTTTCATTTACATTTTGCATTGGGTGGAGTGCAACACTCCAGTCTATGACAAACAAACTGTGTGACAGGGGGAGTGAGTGCAGGGAGAAAAGGAGGGAGGAGAGATTTTAACAGAAATAACTCCACTTAGTGTTTGAGTGAGGGATGTAATGAAATCTGTTTGCTGTGCTAGCTGTCTCCAGATTGGGCTGTAATTACACCACAGAAGGAAGAAAGGTAGCTGAGTCTCAATCTAGATCATTTATGTAAACTCAGCCTTCTTGTCAACGGCATTCTCAGATTGCACGTGTGCAAACCACAAAAATCATCTCCTATGTACAAAACAGAGACGGTCTCAAAGTGCAGGCTTCTGATACACCTTATATGCTGTCTGTAATTGGACTTGAAAATTCAACACACTGAGGTTCAAAACTTCTCCAATATTTTCTGCATTTTATTCAGTGCGGTGACTATTCACAGAGAAGCATTCCTGCTTTCTTTATGCCAAAGGATGATGTCTAGCCTTACAAATTAACATTTATTTGGCTTAAATTAACACGAGTGTCAAAAATATAGGAAATTCTTTTGTGTAAGACTGTAGAAAAAAAAAATCTGGATCTGAAAGAGGGATATTCCCTCCCTCAGAAGAGTTGGAAAAACCTCATTCTTTGACCCAGAGCAACATATTACACAGGCACAGTATAAACCCCAGGCAATCAGTTCCCTTAACAGAGTCAAATTAATATTTGATTAAATATTTTAAAGCTCCTACTTACCATGCTTGATACATTTTCTCAGCAAGTTTCTCAAATACAAAAATCATTAGGCACAGGGTAATTTTATGTTTTAATACATAAAAACAGTGTGAGGAGACATGACTGCACACAGACAGAGAGGATTTTCCCCCATTAATCCTCCAATCTGCCCTTCTCCTTGGATAAGCGGGTATGTTAATTCCCAGCTTCAGCAGCTCACTCTCTCTGGGCAGGTTTAAACGAGTTTCTTGTGACACCTGGATCTTCACGCCCTTCCATCCCTCCCTCCTTCCATCCCTCCCCTCTGGCAGGAAAACCACCGGCCTCCACCCTGGCGCCGTCCCCACCGGTACCCAATCAATACCAACTTATTTCCTGTCCATTTGCTGAGGTCACGAAAACGGGACTCATTAATTATTTCTACTGGTGCAGCCTCAAGTGCGCTTCTGGCACGACAAGCAAAAGCCTTTTGTGACCTTTTTTCTTTCCACTCCCGAATTTTGCTGGTGGTGATGGTGGCGGCAGCAGCTGGCATGCATTCCTCTGTTGGGATGGGATGATGAGACAACCAGAGGTGTGAGGCATCCTCAGTCTCCCCGCCAGGTTGCTTCCACCTGTGGAGGGAGAGACGCTCCCCTCAGAGCGGCAGGTCAGGGAAACCTGGTCACGGCGCAGACGATGTTGGCCAAGGCATCCCTGGCCTCGGAGGGAGGGAAATGCTCCAGGGCTGCCAGTGCTCTGTTTCCGTGGCAGCGGCAGAGGTCGATGGCAGAAGTCACACCTTTTCCAGCCTTGATCGCTTCCTGCAGCTGTCAGAAAACACAAGCACAAGGGGTTGGGGGTGGTTCAGCAGTAGCAGTGCCAGCGTGCACAGCTATCTCTGGGAGTACAGGGCTTCCACCGCCCCTTCCGAGGTAAAGGCAAAACCGAAGCCATCAGACAAAGCTCTTAAATCCTCTCAGTTGCTCTGTTTGGCTCTCAACTACAGCTAAACTGTGCACAGTAGTTTAAACTACATCACCCATTACTTCATCACCTGAGAGATACTGGCTCTCCAAAGTGCACACTTAAATTAAAAAAAAAATTAAAATTTTTAAATATCTGGGAATTTCATACCTCAGCCGCTGCCTGAGAGCTTTTGTTCAGAACTGGCAAACCAGCCACTCACTCTTGTTTTCTGCAGTCAAAACCTGCATTTCATGAACACCAATCTTATCACCTGTTTTTGGAAACTGGCATAGGATGACACATGTTGAATGTGTGTCTTTTGTAATACAAGTTTCTATTTATAGACCACGTGATTACATGTGTCAGAGTGGACAAAAGGAAATTGTGTCAGCAAAATGTGTTAAACTATCATACTGAGCTACATCCATGCAAACTCCTCCTTCTCACTAAGGCTATGGAATTTGACAAAGGCTTGGTGATGCACCATATGAGAAAGAAAATATTTTCATGGAATAACAGATGTTTCAGGGCAAACTAGGTTAAATTTCTTATGAAATAACACAAAAATTAGAAACAAAACATGTTTTTTTCCCAGTACCTGAACTTAGCAGAAGCTCTAAACAGCAAACACTCTTATTAAAGGCATTTTTATCTTTAGTTATTATTTTTTCTTGAACAGCATCACGAGACTGCCACATTTTCCACTGTTACATTTTCCACTCTAAAATACAGGTGTTCCCAGACCAACTCTAGCCTGATGCCTCATGCCAGAGCCTGGGAATCAAGGCCAGGTGGATCTCTGGGATTTGATTATTCCAAAAGCATTAAAGCATTTCATGATCTTTAATGTGCCCCACCTGGCTTTCACAGCCATCTTACTTCACTGTACCAGCTTTTAAAAGAGGGGCTTTTCTTCTACAGTAACAAACTATACAAGGTTTTATAAGTCATGTTTTCCACCAATACACAGCTCATTGCTTCGTTTAAAAATACATCAGTATGACCTTACCTATCTAGTTAAAATAATGTAAAAATAAAAAAATCCTAAGATATGACCAAATGGAAAGTTACCCGCTTTCTATACACACTTGCATTCATACAGAATGAATGACACTTCTTATCTGAATACAAACTGGAGTGGATTCATTATCTGTATTTAAAGATGAAATTAGCTGAAAGCATATTACAGCACTTGAGTGTTCAAGTCCCAGTTCATAAAAATTTTATTCTCACTTCAGTTACAATCTTCCTGCACTGTGTGCTGGAAAGGAACTTGCCCCGAGGCATAAATGCATTGCACAGCTAATTCCACATGTCTTCTAATGAATGAGAATCAGCCACATATTCACGGCTCTGCAGCAAAGGTGGGATAGGTGAGACAGAGGCATGCTAGCAGTGTGAAAAGGTGTCTCTTTCCCTTTCTTTGAGGCACAACCTTGTGAGACAGTGGAACCCACACATCTTGAAGCAAACTCTGCTGATTTGCTAAAGCTTATTAAAGAGGATTAGCACGCCTTCTAATACTCATGTAAGTATATATTGGGATGTAAACAGCAAAGAAAATAGCTCCTAGAAAGTCTTCAGTTTGGTCAAAGGTCAGAGGAGCTTAGCTTAGGCATATGTATGATCGCACATATGTACCATGACTTAGTTGAAACAGCACAATCTGGAAAGGGGGAGAATCCTAACACAAGGACGCAATCCATTTACACGCTTGTCTTGAGTAAGTCCTTAGACACACATACTGCTTTGAAGCCCATACAATTGCAAAGCTCGTGTCAAACTATACGCAGAGAAATCACTATACAAAAATCAGACTAATTCGCTATTGAACATTTCCAAGCAAAGTTCAAGGAACGTCAAAACAAAAAATACCCACTCCTCTGGCAGCTCCTTTCTCAGCTTTTCAGTTAAAGATTATTGTATGAAATGAACAACTTACAGTCCTCAAAAACTTACCTCTTTTATATTCCATTTGCAGAAGTGGCTGGTCAACTCAAATGAGCATACACAGAGGCAAAGCAGTCTGAACTAACCAGACTGCATGCTACCTCTATCTCAGCTGGGGTTGTAAAAGAAAAAAAGGAAGTACAAATTTGGCATTTGGTAGTAGGATAGTTATTAGAGAAATACAGGAAATAACTCCATAGGAAAAAAAAGCTTCAGTAGCTCTGCTATATGCAAAACTCCCCTAATATAAGACTTTAGTTGTATTTTCCACTGCATTACAGTTACACTTTCAGACTCTCTCAAATTTTGACCTTCAATAGTTTTATGTAATGAACTTCACAAACTAAGAACATAGAATAAAAAACCAATGTATCCAGAATAGAGGTATTATTTTAAAACTTCATTTGGGTAGGAGCAGCTGATTTCTGCAGCAAATACCCAGAAAAGCAAAATGAACTGCTTTTATTTGTTACTTTATAAACTTTAATTAAGCTGCTTCATTAATTTCTTTGAAATAAAAGAGTCTGTTCTTTTAGTCTCTACTTACACGGCATCATTTTGTGCATATTTCCACTTGTAGGAACAATTTAATCCATGCAACCTTCTTCAGAACGACATTCAGTAATTAAAACCAAATACAAGTCAAAATACAGATTGCTTAGCTATACTTTTCTCCTGTTGAACTGTGAGATATGCTGGAATACTCCATTCTTATTTGTAAGCTTTTGTTCAGACCATGGGCACTACAGCCCTACTTTGTTCTAAAGGTGCTGAGACACCAAAAAATCACCAACTGGTGACTGGTTATTTAAATTCAGCTTATAAAGTAGTCTTCCAATAGCACAGCCAAGTTTAAACTCAGATGAGAAGTGATCTCCTTCACAGTATATCAGCACAGTTTTCTTCAGCATCTTCTGTTTTCCTCAACACATTCAGATACTGACCAGGCTTGACAGTTTTGCCTCATACAGATGAAGCTCAGAACCCAAAGTTTTACCTCTGAATGTTGTCCTATGATTCTAAGAACTAAAAAACCCAGCACCATCATAATCTTCACTGTCTTAAGATAATGAAAAAAAACCCTGTGCTGCCTAGATCATATGATACATAAAATTGTAGTGGATTCATATTTCTGCTCCTACTTTGAAGCATTAATGTTTAGAAGTCTTTTATTAAGTATTTTGGCACATTCATAAGGGATATTCTGCATTTGGATTAACAATCTCAATAGGATCTACACAGCTTTTAGAGTCTACAGGTTTGTTACAAATACAAAAAAAGTAATTAAATGGTGATGTTGAAACTCAAACCAACTGCTAGTTTCACATAGGGTACACAAGTACATCTAAAAGAATCTGCCCCTTACTTACCAGGCTTGACCACACTCCACTAGATTTAAATCAATGACCAACACACACCACATGCTATTTTTCTGGTGTTTCAGCTACACTCCTTTTCCTTCATAGTTAGTTATTGACACACTTTTTTTTTTTCTTGAAGTAGTGTGTCCTTAAAGCAAAGATCATAAACCACTTCTCAGGCTGTGTTAGCAAGTGTATACAGCAAGCAACTACTGCCCCTATTTGAGGCTGTTGGGACTGAGTCTGGAGTGCTGTGCCCAATTTTGGGCTTCCCATTAAGTGAAAGACATTGCTGCGCTGCAGCAAGTGCAGTGGGAGGCTACCCAGGTGATATGGGCCTGGAGCAGTACGTGCTCTGCAAGAAAATGCTGGAATTGTTTAGTTCAGCCATAAGAAGAGAAGGCTGTTACTACTGTCCCAACTACCTCATGGGCCAGGAGCCAGAACTGAGCTCTTCTCAGAGGTGTACATGGAAGGGATGAGAGGTAATGGGCACAGGTTGCAGCATGGGAAATGCTGATTAGACCCAAGGAAATTCTTTTCCATTAGGAGGGGGGTCAAGCACTGGTCAGGCTGTTCAGGTTGGCTGTGCAATCTCTGTCCTTGCAGATACTCAAAAGTTAACTGAGCAAACCCATATGGGCTCTGCTTTGAGCGAGGGGCTGGACCAGACAACCCTCAGAGGTCCCTTCAGACTTAAATTATTGTACGATTCTGTGAATAAAGTAGAGTTCAAAGTACTGTTTCCCAGTCCATTTGTTTCAAAAAGGCAAAGGGATCATTTCTCATCCGTACCACAGCAGTTAAGTATTTGCCTTTCAGACCAACTGCTCTGGATTGCTGTTGGACAGAACGGCTGGTCTGAGGGCAGTAAGAGGTCAAAGGGGCAAGCTAAGAACTGCTGGATTTTGGAGACTGAAGAATTAAAGGAGTCAAAAAGTAAGCAGGTGTTCAAGTACAGAGACAACTAATTTCAAATTCTCTCTGCTGAGACATTTCTGCCTCACTAGCCAAAGGAAAGAAGATTCCTTTCAGACAGTGCTACCTGTAGGGAACAACAAATCGGGGGCGGAGAGATTGTTGAGTATTTTGGCTGTACTAGACTTTATGTGCAATAGGAGAATGAGAACACTGAAATTCCTAATTTTTTTTTTTGCAATAGTCAAACTTAGGATTAATTATTTCAGTGGCAAGATATCAACAAGTAACTTCAGAATTTTTTATGTTGTTATTTTAGAAGAATGATCCTAAAACAGCTTAATTTTTTATATAATGAAATCTTCAAACACCATGCATTTTCTCTGATCTTGAAGTGAGCTAAAACATTCTACATTTTTGCAGTGCACAGTATTTGCTGAAATAAAAAGAAAACCCAAACCCCAAAATCTAAATTGATCTGTGGCTGAGTGACTGAACAATGCTATTAAGTGTATGCAGTGTTTTGCACTGGCTTTTCTAAATTTGTTTTCTCTTTTGTGGGAACAGCATGCTCAATACGCACTGGTGCTGAAATGCTACTTCAAAAAGGTATGACGTGTTTCACAGGTAGTAGATTAATTTTGTCAGGCTTTTTCCATTCTTTTCTAAGTACTTTGGAATGTTTCAGCAACCACTCCTGGAGTTTTTGTGGCTGGACATAGGCTTGTGCTCTATGTTCTCAAAACGGGCTGGACGATCACTTATTTGCATCACTTTGTAATGTCATAAGATTTTTTTTTTTTTTTAAATCTTTGTTGGCTACATGCAGAATATGTCAGCTGAAACTGGGGCAGTATTTATCCAATATTTTCTTAGAAATTTCTTCTGTACAAAGGTAAATAAATGCATCTTCAAAGGGCCCAGACACTTTGCAGAAACTTCCATAAGTAGAGTAGGATTTATTTTCCTTACTCATCTGACAAACAGAAGAATTTTCTTTTTACTTCAAACTAAAAGCTACACTATAAATGGGATGAGACCAAATCTGATGAGGGTTGCCCCCAGGAGCAGAGGAAGGATGGCCTGCTTACAAGGAGCACTGCTGTTACACACTTCTTATACTACACTTTGGCAAAAAATTATAAGTCAACCTGAGAGACGGAGTGATTGTACAGACTCTTTGTTGTTTTAGAAGAGATACCAACTCCTCTTCCTTAGGCCTTTCCGTGTCTTTCACACTGAACTTTTGAACAAGACCCACTAGCTTTTAAATCTAAACAATGGTACTTGTGATGACTTTTTACCAAAAAGCATAACTTCCTTAAATCCCATTAATGTAAAATGCATACACACAAGCAATCAACTTCATATTTATGCTAAAAAATGTGATGGTTGTTTGCTTTAGTGAAACAAAAGTTGCGCTGAACTCTCATACCAAAGAAGTGGGAAAATGCCCACTGACTATAAAGATGCAACTGGTTGTTGATACTGGATGTACACCTTGATAATTCAGACATTAATTCCAAAAAATAAGAAAATTGCTTAATCTGAATGGTTTTGGTTGCTTTTGTAATATTACTAAAACATCTAAAAAAACCCCATCTTCATTAAATCACTGACACTGGTTTTTCATTATATGTAACAAAAAGATCTAATGGCAGAGGTTGCTCCAAAACAAACAAGACAAATCTTCACAGAAAACCAACACAGCTCAAAAGCACCTACAAACAACAACCCTCTGTTCTTAACTCTTTGCTGCATTTCAGGAGCAAGAGAGTGAATAGTCTACCATCTACAGTCCCATGACACATCTCATGATGATTCTCTGGCATTTAAACAAATCCGTGGGACTACTGTCATTTACACCATGGGGCTGCACTGCAGCAGGATGAATGCACTCACCGTGGTGGTCAGCAGTGAAGTGAGGAAGGGCAGTCATGCACCTCTTGCTAACACAACTGGATGGTACTGTGTTAGTGTTATTTATTAGCTGCATGACAGTAGGCTACCACTGAGAAACCTCCTTTTTTCCAAATGTGACCTTTCCCATCTTTTTTCTCTTTCCTGCCAAATGGGAAATGCTCTTCCAGCACTGTACAAACTCTGCTCCCTGTGCTGGTGTCATGTATAACATTTCATATATATAATATTTCATATACAAATCAAGAAAGTATGTCACGGCATACTACATAGTATTTCCCATGCCAGTTTGCCTCTATAACAGACAGCAGAGCAAATGGACAGGGCTACAGTAAAAAAAAAAAAAAAAAAGTTTTGCTACATCCTCTTTCACTTAATTTATCTTTTATGAATATTGCGTTTAGAAAAATAACAAATCCTTGCATAGCATACTCACTGGCTGCAAAACCCAGGATTAATTTCTTTATTTAGTGTAATCTCATAATTTTTCTAGAGCCTTGGCCAGAAAACAAGAATTATTCCTGGCTTTCTCACTTCTGCTACTAGTTGTGCCCTTTTAACACTCATTTAACAAATCTGTATAACGCCAAGCACCATCAAGGCCTTGACTTCAGAGAAGTTTTAAATCATTATTATCAAACGGTAACAAATTGACAATCTCAATTTGCTGTTTCAGAATTACACATCTTATCTTGCATGCAAAGTAGATGTAAAATGGGTAAAAGCTTTTTGACTTCAAAAAGTCTGAGATATTTGCCACATACAAATGAGGGTGACAGGAAAGTTGCTGTTTCTTTCAATGACACACATGAATTTCGTCCCTGCCATACATTGGTACTTTCCCTTTTGTTAGCTGAGAAACCCCACTAAAACAGCTGAAATTACTTTTTCATCTCTGTAAGAGACTTTCAAACACCACAATGATGTATCAATAATTTGCCTGGATGTGGTGTGATGGTGTAGGAAAAAACAGAGTGAAACATTCAGATACTAATGTGAGAAAACACATTCAGAAACAGACCTTAATCCTTTTGTGATAGCAAAGTCCTTCTGATAAAAAGATTGAGCAAAGCTGGGAGAAAAAAACCTAAAAAATTTGCAGAACATAGTGAACTTATTGACATGACAGTCTCAGACCTAATGAAATTCATACAAAGTATTTCACTGCTACATTTGTGTCAGAGACCTCACTAAACTTGCTAGGACAATTCAGATTTTTTTGTCTGTGAAAGAAATCACGGATACCACTTTAATATAATATGCATCAGAAGAACAATTCAAAATTCTTAATCGGTCTCAAAATTGAGATATTTTGGACACTCAGTGAGAAACAAGCCCCCTGCTTTGATTAGAAATGTTAAAGTAATTCTAGCAACTGAATAGAAAGATGAGAAAGGACTGTGATGCTGAGAAGAAAAGACTGAGCATTGTGCAAAACACAAGGAAAAAAGGTAACACAGTAAAGAGCAAAAGAATAAATACTACTTTGTACTGCACACACTCTCTACGTACTGGCCAAGTTACTCTGCTGGGGTGACCTACAGGTTACTGAGTTCATTTAGCATGGATGTAATTAATGACAACTTTTATATTAAAAAAAGAAACATAGAAAAGAAGGATTTGACATCATAGTTTTAAAACTGACGTCTACAAAAACCAAAGTTGATTACTGTTTGAGTTCACAAAAACCATGTAGAATTTTTCACTATCATTATTAAACTCATAATAGCTGTGCTTGTGCAAGAGATAATTACCCGAAGCTAATAAAAATCACGTGCTTTCTGCCAGAAGTCAGTTGCTCAAAATACAAAACTCAAAGGGTTTTTTCTCCTTCCTTACCTTTTTTCCAAGTGTCCAAATTGCCTAAGCATACTATAAGTTTTTAAATTTCATATGTAGGATCCAAGACAGGAAATAATTTCAGTCAAAACACAGAATACACTGACAAATGTTTAATTTAGTAAAGCAATTTTAGATGCTTTTCCTCCCCCCTCTTGTTTTTAAAGTACGGGAATGACATTTTATGGACCACAGTTGTAACAATTAAAAGGAGAAAACCCCTTCTGGACTTACAAAAGCAAGTGGCCTGGCTTAAACATTCACAGAAGTGCCTCACAGACATATTTGAAGAATATATTTAGTGCTCTCAGTGGTGATTTAGAAAAAAGAAAACTGATACAACTGTGACTGTTGTAGAGAAAAACCTAAAAGCACAATGATTTTAAGTAGCAAGGTAAGGTTAAGATCCTTTTTAAGTTCTAAGAGGAAGGACAGAGTTTTTCTAATAATCCAAATCACAGTTTTTCTTAATACAGAATAATTTAAATAATCTGACCTGTACTTGTGTGTTAGCCTTCCATACTAGCAGCAATCAGTCAGAGCTGTAACACTCTTCAGGTCCCAATTCAAGAAGCAATTCTCAATCACGCATGTGGCTCAATAATGTATATATTATTTCCCACTGATGCTGGAGATAACTGACTGGGCCTTCACAATCTACTCAAGACTCGGAACAAGTCATACTCAGTGAGCTGGGGACACGATGTCATCATCTGTCTCTACCACAACCATGTTGTGCTCAAATATTTAACCAGGGGGAACCTTTTCAGCCATCTCCTGCAGCTCTCTAAGAGCTTTAGGGTGTCCCAGCTACTTCCAGCTACTTAGTCAGGTCTGCCTTTATTATAGAGGAGCAGCAAATATAGTGGTGACTTAGCCAAAAGTTGTAATGGGGACTGGAAGAAACACAAACTATTATAAAATGTGTATGTATATTTTTTAATAGATGGCTTGGAACTAAGGCAAGATTTAAAAAAAAATTAGCAGTATACTCTACCAAAACAGAGAGACCAGTGATAGGATCTAACCTGCAAATGACTTTAAGAAAAAAAGACAGAAAAAGCCATCAGAATCTTGGTTTCAAAACCAAGTTTGGGGAAGTAAATGGGAGAAATAACAGCAAAAATGATTATTCAATGTCTACTAATTATTAAATTACTATTATTAAATACATTATTAAAATTCTATCATTAAATAGATACATTTGATAGTTACAGTACAGCTGTTACTGGCTTTTTAAAATCAAGAAATGGCATGAGCCATTTTTCTCCCTTCATATACACATGCACAAATTATAGCCTAACTTTGATAAGGAAGTCTCCTTCAATTGTCAAGAATATCCTTGAAAATATTTTAAAAATATTAAAAATTAATTATAAATGTAATTTACCAACCTTTTTGTAGTCCATTATGTTTCCTTTTCCTTGTGCCTTAAAAAGAAAGAGATTTTATATAAGACATTATATACTACAAACTAGAGTTGCAAGAATAAAGAATGTAATTAAAAGAGCTACTACTTTAAACATAACCGACTTTCTCTAGGAATCTGATACAGAAAACCTTAAAACACAACTAAATGTGTTACCAGCTTATACAACATGGTTCTTTTTCAGATGAGAGCTGCAGATACTTAATGTAATTTTTAGGGTTTTTTATTATGACTTGTAGTTAAACATTTGTTGAATCCAAAATGTTTTGGTCTTAAGAGATCTTGCTGTTTGCATTAATTAATCTTTCCCATGAGATTTCGAAATAAGCTATACTCCATATCAGCAACAACAGGACTTATTTTCTTAAAAGAGAACTCTGTATATCTACAGTGATTTGCGCTAGGTAATAGTCTACAGTTTTCAAAAGGGGATGTTGGATGCTGTCAGTGCTCTTACACCTGGGCTAGAGGTGCTTTTTGGTTTAGAATTGTATTTAAACTTCAGCATCACCAGAGAGAGAGAGAGAGAGAGAGAGAGAGAGAGAGAGAGAGATACAACCTGTAACTCCCAATACTTAAAGAAATATGAATAAACTTTACATTTCTTCTTGCCCAGATGCAGGCAAGTACATAGTAGACCCTGAGACAGCTCAGTTACTTAGAGCATGGAGCTAATAACACCCAAGGTTGTGGGTTTGATCCCTGTACAGGTCATTCACTTAAGAGTTGGACTCTATAATCCTTGTGGGTCCCTTCCAATTCGGAATACATAGATCCTGATGAATATTTGCAGAGATCCAACTTCCTCAATTTTGTTACAGGATGATGTAGACAGGAAGATGTTTTTCTCAGTGGTAGTGCTCTGACAGAACCAGAGCATTCCCGCTTAACCACCCTGAAAGCCCTTCCCTGAGGTCAGATCCAGTGTTATTATCACTTCATTCAACTGCAGCTCTTCTTTTTTCAGGTACATTAAAGAAAAAATCACCTGTTTCTTTCCCTCTAGCTTCCACAGGGAAAGACCACAAATCTCAGTTCTTCTGGAATGTGTCTCCTGAAAAGATGTAGTTTAGGACCACTACCTCTCCATGTCCTCTGTGGGCACTTGAGAGATCAGCCAAAAGGAGCAGACAACAGCCACAAGGAGAAGAGCTGAAGCCCACACTGAAGAGGAACACTGTGTGGCAAGCACAGTTTTAAAGAATTGTTGCCAAGATGGCACAGATTTGGAAAATAAATTAATTTTTGTACAGGAGGAAAAATAAAATAGAGAAAAGAACCCTTGAGAGACTAAACAAATGGAAAATGAAGGAAAACAGTAGATAACAGAGCTGATTCCTCTGAAGGAGAAAGGTGACTGATCCACCAAATCTCTTTGCTTCTCTCTTTAATCTTCTCAAGACGCAGTTTTTCCGGAATGCATATTAAGAAAACAGCCTGATAGAACTTGGGAGTAGCAAAACTACTGCCAATAACTGCTTCCTTATCTGTGTATTCCCATCACTTTGATTTGCCAACTTTTATTCACCTGGTTGGATCTTTCAGCTTCTTCAAAATATATCTAGTAGTGATACTGTATATCAGTACACACCAGAAGCATGTTCCTTAACAAGTGATTGTCTATATGCAGATTCACACTGCAGCAGAGAATCTGACAACATGTTTTTTGGAAGATATTTTTTGGTCTCAGCAATACCAGAAGAGGTGTGCTCCCCCTGCCTCCTCCTGCTCTTATAACCAACAACAAGAATATTTCCTCATGATCTGTTCCTGTCAAGCATTCAAGTCAATGGCAGTTGTGCTTCTCCAAGCAGCAACCTTATCCAATCTGTCTCCAAAGCCTTCTTTACTACAACTGCATAGTTGTAGTAACTTTGCTTTTTGCTTTTTTTTTGCTTTTTACCCTCACAGCAGTTTGACTCTGACTTTTTCTGACTCTCATCTCAGACACACAGATCTTTTTTACCTTTTACATCAGACTTGCTGGTTAAGCTTCTGACATGGACTGAGTGGACTGCATGTGCTTTAGCTATTTAAACCATACAAATGACATTGCACAAGAGGGTGGCTTATGAGCACTGCCAGTATGATGAAGTCTCTGGTTTGAGTGCTTGGCCAACACTGAATGTCACACAGTGAAAGTGACTATGGATGATATCTCAAAGAGCTTGTAGTTAATGAAAGATGATTTTCCTTTCTAAACCAACACAAGTGAAGAAAGGTTCCTGAGTGAGATATTCTATGTTGCAGTGAGTAGTTAGTTGAGTAGTATGGTATCATCATCATCATGGCTGGGCTTCGAGAACGAAGATTTGGGAAAGGCTCTATCCACATTTGTTACAAGCACACTGGTGGCTAATAAGGCCAATATAAGATAGACATGTCCGACTGCAAAAGGCACAGCAGAAAGACTCCTTAGGTGGTATATTCTGCAAGACACGATTCTTTCTGCATTGTCTTTTCTCCTCGAGAGTGATCCTGCGTGCGTTCTCAAAAGAAGCAGCAGCGTTATAGATGGCGTGTCTCCAGGCCTCCTGATTTGAGGCCAGAGTAGACCAGTTATGGTGATCAATATAGCCAAGGCTGAGATGTTGTTTCAGGGAGTCCTTGTATCTTCTCTTCGGGGCTCCTCTCTTGTGGCAGCCAGTGGCAAGTTCACCATAGAGCAAGATCTTAGGGAGGCGGTGGTCCTTCATCCTTGAGATGTGTCCTGCCCAATGCAGCTGTGTTCTCAGTAACATGGCCTCAATACTTGTGACTGCTGCTTGTTCTAGAACAGATGTATTGGTCACATAATCTGACCAGTGGATGTTTAGGATTTTACGGAGGCAGCGTTGATGGAAGCTTCTAGGAGTCGCAGGTGGTGGCAGTAGATGACCCACGATTTGGAACCATATAAGAGAGTAGACAGAACAATGGCTCTGTAAACAGTGATCTTGGTACTTTTCTTCAAGTGTTTATTGTGCCATACTCTTTTATGGAGTTTTCCAAAAGCACTATATGCCTTTGCTAACCTGTTGTCTATCTCTGCATCAATCTTACCATCTGAGGAGATGAGGCTGCCTAGGTAATTGAACTGCTGGACTGATTTGAACTCTGATTGGTCAATGGTGATACGGAGATGATGGAAGACTTCCTGAGGTGCAGGTTGATAGAGAACTTCTGTCTTCTTTAAGCTGACTTCCAACCCAAAGAGCTCAGCAGCATCTGCAAAGGAGGATGTTAAATGCTGCAGAGCTGCTTCTGTGTGGGCCACAAGGGCGGCATCATCAGCATAAAGCAGCTCCCGGACAAGATGATTTAAGGTCTTCGTGTGGGCCTTCAGTCACCTTAGGTTGAAAAGGCTTCCACCAGTACGGTATCGAATGTGGATACTGTCCTGATCATCAAGGTCTGCCGAGACCCTTTGGAGCATCATGCTGAAAAAGATTGTGAATAGGGTTGGTGCAAGAACGCAGTCTTGTTTCACTTTCAATTAGAAAGGGCTCAGAAAGTGCATCACCATATCTGACTTGGCCGTGCTGATCCTCATGGAGTGAGATGATCATTTTAAGGAACTTTGGGGGACATCCTAAACATTCCAAAATCTGCCATAGACCTTTTCTGCTCACAGTATCAAAAGCCTTGGTGAGATCAACAAAGGTTACACAGAGAGCTTTATTCTGTTCCCTACACTTCTCTTGCAGTTGTCTGAGAACAAACACCATGTCTGTGGTGCTCCTGTTGGCTCTGAAACCACATTGGCTTTCATGTAGAATTCCTTCTGCTATAGCGGGTATTAGTCTGTTCAAGAGTATTCTTGCCAGGATTTTGCCAGCAATGGAGAGCAGAGTAATACCACGGTAATTTGAACAGTCTGATTTAACTCCTTTCTTCTTATACAAAGTGATGATGACCGCATCATGAAGGTCTGAACACTTTAGGTATAGTAAATACCATGTATAAAGTATACATACGTATATGTATAAATGTATGAAGTAGCAGTAGACAGTAAATACTTCTGCATAGTACATGTCACTTTGCACTCTGGCTTCCTTCACAAAGAACTGCTTTGTTGTTTCTATAATGCCCATTTTTGGTATGAAAATTTAGTAAGCAGACAGACAGCACTCCTGGAGTCCTGCAATCTCCTCTAGATTCTGTAGATGGGAAATTGTTTCAAAGTTTTTATACACCGTGTTGTGGAAATACCATTATTCTCCAACTGCAATAACCCAAATCCATTTACATTCGACTCACATATGGGCCTTGTGTTGTGACTGTAAGATTCCAAAATTCTTTGTCACGCATTGTGAACTACCAGCCCGTAACTTCAAAATGACAATAGGTTTGCTTCACCTTAAGATTCCCCAACTCCACACCACTGTACAGCTGTAGATTCTGCATATACTTCCCAGAATTTTACTGCTGAAGGGACTATGCCCCTTGCTTTCATTATGTGAAGGCAGGCTGCAACCTGGCCATCATGAATGCAGAATGAGGCAAAGGCTCGGACTCCATCCCCTGTACCCAAGAGTCTTGCTTTTAAACCAGCAAGGAAAGGAGCCATTCAACCAACACATCTTGAATGAATATGCTTGCACAGAGCCAACTTCTTATTGAAGGCAGCAGCCTTTTTAACAAAAAATCTGTGTAACTACAAGCAGGAGTTTCCAAATGGCAGTCATGATTGTTGTTTAGACAGACAAAACATGCCCAACTGACGAGTGTTTAATTTTGGCCATTTCAGCGCTTCCCCCTCCTTTCCCTTCTTGCTGCCTTCTACAGTTACCTATTTGTGTTTCAGAAACATCCAAGAAGCTATTCATGGACCTGATTCCTGCTGTGGTACAAGACAGCTACCACATAGCTATCTTATTGCCTTCCTCATCTAAGGGTTAGAGGAAAAAAATAGCTGAATAAGAGAACAAAGAATAAGGATATCAGATCTCACAAATATTTTGTAGTAGTCTAAAAGCCAAGTCCCCCAAATCTTTCTCCTTTCATCCAAAATTACTGCTCCCAGAGTCAAGTTGGCAGAAGGAAATGTGTCTACCTTTCAAGCACTGTGATTGTTGAAGTTCTTCGCTTTAAACTGCCAGTGAAAGTAGCTTTAAACTAAGATGTGGGACTGCACAAGTATTGCAGAGGACCAGACATAAGTTCCACATAAATGAACCTGTTTGTTACACTGACACACAAAAGTTTGACAGAGCTTGACTGTCAGGTCCCTAGATTTCCCCTACATCTTGAAAGCATGGAAGAGAGAGATAGTAAGCATTGGAGAGCATAGGTAAACCTGTTGTTAATTTCTAAGTTTCTCTGAAGATCAAAAGTACGGATAGGAAGAGATAAATGGCAAAACCAGGAAATTCTAAACAATGCTTCAATTTACCTCTCTAATCTGCTTAATCCATGCCTCCCTTCCAAGGAATTCCTGATGAAGGATTGCAGGAGCAGAATTCAAACTGAAGGCCATTGTGTCACTCGAACTTTCTTTAACAAACGGCTGAAGGTCTGAATGTAGCTGAAAGAGAAGAACACATTTCTTCAGTTCCCAGGAACAGTCTACATATCCACCCATGCACCAAACTGAGGTCCATATCCTGATTCTACACCTACTCACCACTTTCTGCTTTGACACTTGTACTTTGGTTGCACTTTTTCAAGTTTGGGGAAGGGACAGAAAGATGTTGTGAAACCATTGCACTGGTGGAAAGCTGTGGTAATGAGAAGCATGTATAGAGTCTGCAAAGACATGGGTAAAGGACAGCTTACAGAGCTGGGCAAGCCATAGGACATAGCCATGTAGGAAGCTGTGGAGTGTCAGGAAGCATTAAAAATATAAATGACCCAGTCTTTGGTGGGAAGAAGATCAGTTTTTAATCTGTGCAGGGTAATACATTCTACTTTACAGTACCTGAGGAAGCCGATGCAGTATGACCTTCCTTCTGACAAAGGAAATGCTACATAGCTAGGAGCTTTCTATGAAAATTATGCAATCCTTTATACATAACTATGTGTCAATAGTGAATACATTAATATTAAAGCATCCACAAAACATTAAGGCTATAGCTGCACTACAAGCAATTTTCTGGTAGAATTGTACCTAGTAATAGCATACAGTGGCATTTCTATGGCAGTAAAACTGTGCTTTATAAAACCACTTCCTTCTCCTGTAGGAACTAGAAACTATCTAAATCAACTCAGCTGAAGTACATGAGAGGCCTGTCTGCCTGTCTCAAGCTACGGCTAATCTTGCAAGTGGTGCAATACAACAGGAACAGATCTTTAGGGCAAAACAAGAGTGTCAAGGATCTGAGTTCCCCACTATGTGTTTTCCTTTGGACTAGCAGTAGCTGCAGACTGAAAGTCTTCTAGTGGAGGTCAGAAACCTTCTGTGGGAAATCCTACTACTGTAAAGGTGCGGGCTGCTCCTGTCCAGATCTGGTGGCCTCCCTCCTTATTCTCAAGCTGCCCCCTCTGGAAGTTACCTCCACAGCAGGTCATTTAGAAGGGAATGCAAGCAGGTCCTTCTGCCACTGCAGCTCGTGGCTCAGCTCACATGCTGCTGCAGGCAGTTGAGCCTCACAGTACAAATCTCTGCATGGTGGCAGTCAAGATCCAACACATCATGTACAGACTGGGAAAAAAGAGGCTGGAGATCAGCACTGTGGAAAGGGACCTGGGTGTTCAATGGCAAGTTGAATATGAGTCAGCAGTACCCTGGTAGCCAGGAGGGCCAACTGTGTCCAGGGGGGCATCAGGCAAAGCATCACCAGCTGGTCAAAGGAGGTGATTGTCCCGCTCTGCTCTGCACTGGTGTAGCCTCACCTTGAACAGTGTGTGCAGTTTTGGGCATCATAACATCAGAAAGATATAAAGCTATTGGAGAGTGTCCAAAGGTGGGCAATGAAGACGGGGAAAGGCCTTGAGGGGAAGCTGTGTGAGGAGTGGCTGAGGTCACTTGGTCTGTTCAGCCTAAAGAAGAGGAGACTGAGGAGAGGCGTCATTGCAGTCTACAACCTCCTCATGAGGGGAAGTGGAGATGCAGGTACTGATCTCTCTCGCAATCAGTGACAGGACCCAAAGGAATGTCCTGAAGGGGAGGTTTAAACTGAATTTTACGGAATGAGGTTAAACCTCAGGGGAGGTTTAAATTGGATTTTATGGAATGGTTCTTCACCCACAGGTGGTTGGGCACTGGAGTGGGATCCTCAGGGAAGTGGTCATGGCACCAAGCCTGACAGAGTTCAAGATGTGTTTGGACAATGCTCTCAGGCACATGGTAGTATTCTTAAGGTTGTTCTGTGCAGGGCCAGGAGCTGGACTCAATGACCCTTCCAACTCAGGATATTCTATGACATGCTTCCTTCTGCAACTTTTGCTACTGGGATTGTGGCTTTAGGAAGAATGTAGGAGCAGGTAAGGTAAAGTTTTAAGCTGCTGCAGAAAGATGTGCTACAGGGACATTAACAGAAGCTTGAATGTAATGAATTACTTGGCCAGGAGTGTGATTTTGCTAGTTCGCAAGCACTGTTCATACCAGCAGTTTCCACAAACATCTTCACACCAGGCAGCAGTAAAATCTCTCAACAATGACCTGCTGGCAAAAGTCTACAGCATAGTGGCAGTATATAACAGAGCTCAAGATCAACACATCTTACAAGCCTTGCTGTATTTAAGGTCCCAGAACCTAAGGAAAAAGCATACCTTATGACTCATAGACATATGCTTCCCATACTGAAATGCCATGTCCTGAATCTCAGTGCTGTGCTTTGCTAGCTCCATTGCAGCCTGGCAGCTCTTTGCCAGCAAGGCACTATGTGACAGGAAGACCTGCTCCTTCCACCGAGATATGCCAATATCATCTGTAAGACAGTTCTCCTGAAAATGAAACAAAGGCTAACATGAAAACACCAAAACTGCAGATGTGTCAGCTCACAGAGATGAACAGTGTGGCACAGGTGAATAATGTGGTAAGTAACAAAACAAACGAAAAACTCTGGGTGCCATGATGCCAAATAAAGATAGGTGGTTTTTAGGGATGATTAGAGAAAAGTATCAGAATAAATATACTGGCAGCTTCAAACAAAAACCTTTTTCATTTTCTGCTCAAAAAGAGCAATGCAAAATATGTGGAGTTGTCAACAGATTCAGTATAAATCTTTTCTTAATGACTGTATCATTTTCTTAATGACTGAACATTAACAGCCAACTACATCCCTCATGAGGGACTGGGGAGTTAAAAAAAATGCAAACAAAACTCCAAAACAACAATAACAAAACAAATCCCAAAAGTAAAACCCCCCAGAGTACACCTACACTTCAGCCCCTTACCAGTTACCAAGAACCAATAATCCCAAACAAACTTGAGAAGTCCCTACAATTTCTCCTTTGTGGTCAAGAAAAAAACACATTACAAAAGGTATTAAATATTCTTATAGACTGCATTGAAAAAATGAAGGGCTGCAATGGATGATTTGTACCTCTTCTACTCCCATATTAAGGATGGGGAATGACTGAATGTTTTAAAGTTGCGATTTAGAAGTGTCAGGTATTAACTTTCTCAGAGGCTGACAGAGATCTCAATGATACCTCTATTGAACTTTATCACCTTGACTGTAAGGTCAGAAATGCTCAACCATTCTCAAAACCTTTTATATCCAAAATATTAATTTGGGTTACTTTTCACAAAGCATTTTTTAATTAAGGCAAATAAAATACTTTCTCCCCAAACCCAAATTCAAATGCCATTTCTTATAAGGTGTTAATATGGCACTATTTCACTAACGGGTCTTCAAAGATAGACATGACTTTCATCTGTCTCACATACGTGATACTGTCACACCTTTAGGTACTCTCTAAAGAGAGGAAAAAATAAAAGACCAAAACCTGAAAAGACCACAGTTGTTTTACTTAGAAAAAAATAAAATTAGCAATGAGAAGCAACAGAAAAAAAATTTCAAGCATATAAATTTTGTAATTTTTCAGTTCAGCTAAATCTGTAGCTCACATTAAGCCAAAAGATATTCTTTAAAAGAGTAATAAAAAACCCCTTTTATATAACAAGCTTTTCCCCTCAAAGTGATGGCAATTAAACTACTTAGAAATGAGCAAGAAGTAATTCTGTGTGACCCTATAGTTTTCTAGCAAGGTATTATCTGTCATGAAATCAGTAACAAATGAAATAGAATCCATCCGTTCGGCTCTAATTTTCCTCCCTTATGGATATCACCCAGAAGTGCTGTGTTACAAGGGAGAGGATAATTTGAGACTAATGGAAGAAGTAGGAGAATTCTGCAACGCCAAGTAACACAGAGCTATATCAAAATGTCTTTGCTTTCAGACATACTATTAAGTTATACAAGGAAAGTGAAGAACAGAGAAACCACATGTTTGCTATTATGCATATGACAACTTACAAAGTCAAGCCTAAACTTTCCTCGTGTTTCAGTATTTTTGTTTTAATATCTTAACTCATCCCAGAGCATCTGCAAATTCCCATGACTGGCAAAATGTCAAAATGAGCATTTAATTCAAGTAGTTCCGCATATATCAAGTCTCTTTTTTTCCACTCAGATATAGATCAATTTATTTGAAATTTAAAATCAGGAGCTCTTGGAAGACGAAACACAATCTTTTCCTTAACAACCAATCTGCTCAGTGAAAAAACAGTATTTACTAAAATTCGCTGGATGATATTGAAAATTGGCAGAGATTTTTATAATCATTTGTTCTGAATCCAAATAAGACAAAAATACTCTAGAAAAGTACCCTTAAACAATTTTGAAGTTTTAAAAAAAAAACATCTTTCAGAAGACCCCAACTTGAAAATATTTGCTTCCTGGAGCCTTTGAGCAGCAAGAGAAATGCAGACATTATCAAATATCAACTACGGGAACTGAAGAAGCTTAAACAATTATTGCAACTCAACATATACAAGGAAATTAATTCTATGATTTGCTATAAAATCATATGCTTAAACGAGTTGGAATTCCATAACCAGATCGAAAATGATGGCACAAAAAGTTACTGTCCACTAAATGAACATCATGTAGAAGCTTCAAGCATCTAAAATGGACACATATTTGAAGATACAGTATTGAAATCTTAAAAAACATAACTACTGTAAATCCCTGGGTTACAGAAACAAGCCAGTTGTAAAAAGGCATTATGTCCGTATGGATGTGCCTTAGCATATGAACTTGTATGACAGAATATAGCTGATTTAAAACACAGTACCCCTTCTGACCACACCCCCCTAAATCTTCTGTTGTTTAAGAAGGCAGACACAACCTTTCTTCAGCAAAGTTTTTCAACAATGTCATTTTTTCCCAAGCTTAACTTATATTGTACACAGAGTGTCCACCAACCACACTACATTCATATGTAGGACAAGATCTAAACACTATTGAAAAAACAAAAAGGGAAGACCAAAACTAGTTCTAGATTGCAAAAGCTGTAAAATCTGACATCATGACAGTGTTTACTACTTTTAGAGAAATTTTCACTGCTTTTTAAGCTTTGTTTTGTTTTGTCAGCAGTGGGTATAAAAGTGGACACTAATATGCTCAGAAGACTCCTTAGTCCTTCATATAAAAGCCTTTTCTAACTCAAATTAATTCCAGCTGTAGTTGACAGTGCTCAGACAATTGATTAACTAATGCCTGGGATCTCATTCACAAGTTCTGTCGCCCAAAACTGGTCCAGATCACAACCATTCCTGATGCTGTCTGGGTGGCAGAAACTGGAAGAAGGGAGTTGAACCCCTCACCATCACCAGAAGAAAACAGCCAACTCCAGATACAGTTTGCATAATGTCAGTATGGGAATACAGGGAAAATATACAAATCCAACTCTGTCAATCATCGTTTCCTATGGGAAATTAAGAACAGCTGAGGGTGCTCCTATTTTACTATCAGCAAGGTCGGTTACTGTTTTGTTAGAAATTGTCTAGTTGAGACTTTTTTTTTTTTTTAATTTAGCTACTTCCGTAATTTTAAACTGTGTTTGAAACAATCCTCTCAGGAAACAGGAAACAAAAAAACTTTTAGAAAATGAAACTGCAGGACAAAATATGCAAACATAACCATCAGGGAGGGCAGCTTTTAGCAATGGCAAAAAAGATCCCCAATACAAAAGCAGCACTTAACTCAGTCTGATTTATCACACCAAAGAAGATGCTCATATGTGGTTCAGCTGAAAACATATTAAGGAAATATGCATGAAAAACCTGTCTTCAAAGTGCAAAAACCCATTTGCAAAACCAGGAAGAAGTCAGAGACACTTCGATGTAAAACTTCAGCTACAGTGTATAAGGGAAAACTTAATTTATTTCCATACCATGGCAGCTCTTTCTTAGCCATCTGCTGTTGCACAAAATGATTGAAATGTCTGAATCACTTAAATCAAACTTTAGTTTAGTTCTCAATGGGCAAATAATCTGCAGAAACACACGGAAATAATTTTAAATTGCATATTCAAGTTTTAAATTAGGTAGTTCAAGAACTTCTATTTTACATAAATAAAATCCAGTGCAACTATGAATCATTCTACCAGTAGCAAGACCCTGCAAAAAATCTTGCACATGGTTCACATAAGCTTTCAACAGATGTATTTGTGCTTGCTGAACATGACAGGGCATGTTTTATTGGTCTATTAATACATGCCTTCACTGCTTTTGGAGGAACAAGGGTGTCTGTAAATGAGTCAACAAAGCATGCCACCAACTACTTCATCATGACACTAAAAAAAACCCACATGACTTAAAAAAATTTTGAAAACTTATAATAAATTTAAATCTCTTCACATCTGTTATTTTAAATCTCTCTAGAAAAGCTTAGTATTTAAAAGAACAAAAGCAGTAAACAAACAGCATTGGCCTTCTTTCTAGCTATGCTTTTTTCCCCTCTGACACATTCTTTTCACAGATGCTCTTTACTCAAATTCCATATTTTATCCTTCCCTTTTGTCTTGCAACAGAAACATTTGTTTAAAAAAAGTGAAAACTCTGACTGCTGCACTGCTAAAAGGTGATTTACATGTCTCAAAATGCATTTGGCTTACTTCCTTTGGTAAAATTATAAACAAATCCTTTATTTTAACACACTCATAGCAGTCCAGTTGATGGACATGTGCAGTATTCCAAAACATTACTTCTCAAAGCAGGGCTGGTGACCAAACATCAAAGAACTGATACCACTTGCTACATGTAGCCTGTCCTTCCCCAGAAAACACATTTATTAGAAATACCTGGTAATTCACTACTTGGTAAAATGAGTACTTCCCACTAACGTATTTCTTTTTAAACTTGTTTTACATATTAGTTGTGCACAATTTTCACACTATTGCATCAAAAACACCAAACAGCTATTCTGGTCATCAGTGGAACATGATGGAAATGGTTTTGTCTTACATAATATCCCATTCTGACACTAACAGGAGTTCTGGCAATGCACATTTAGCATCAGCTAGATACTCTGGAGATGAGGAAAAAAAAGAAACCAAAAACCAACCAAGTGATTTCCCATAAGAGTCCCTAAGTTTTAAGATTGCAAGAATGGTCTGGCAGGTAAAGCACAAGAGCCAACACTCAAGTCCCACTCTTGATTCTGCAGTTTGACCTTGAACTTCCCTGTATATCTTGTCCTTGTTCAGTGGACTGACAAGGACATTAAAGCAACCTTCATTAATATTTGTTAAATGATCTGGAATATTAAAACAGAATATTTTTAAAAGTACGACAGTATTCTCTGAGTTAGCAAACATTTTAGAAGCCTTCAGTCTCCTAAAAGTTGGAAACAGAGCAGAGTAATGGGGGGTTTTTTCTGCTAAAAATAGATACCACAGTCAAGACTGAAGGCCAGATTAGACAACTTTGACCTTTTCATTCACTAAGGCACAAATTTTTACTTCCAAATTAGACCTAGATTCAGGAAAGGCAGATGGGACTGGGAAGAATGTCCTTTAGTTGCAGAATTTTGGTCTAAGAGGGGATTTAGAGCACAGAGCTGTAAAGGTTTATCATATCACCCCTTTCTGCTCCAACTCACAGTCCAAAATATTACCTTAATATTGATAATGCAACATCTTAAATTACAGCAGATGTTTATTACTTTGAACATGAGTGACAACCTTGACTTCGAGGCTGTGTCAAAGCCTACACCTTGTAGTTTGGACTGCCATTTTAAATAAAGATGAAAAGTTAAATATTAGCACTTTTTTTCCCCCAGTTTCAAACAGATCTAATGACTTACTATGCAGACAAGATGAAGAATGATCAAACAGAATATACTAAGATGGGATGGCTGTAGGATTGCACGTGGTTGTGCAGAGGAAAAAAAAGTGGTAATGAGCACTGTCAAATAATTATACCCATTATATATCTTCAGGGGTAAATAAGGTCAGTCTTGCTAAGTTAAATAATTCTTTCAGCTTTCCTATTGGGTCATCCAAGAAGACAAACTTCTTTTTGGGTAAACACAAGCTTAGGATGTCAGAAGAGAAAGGTTAATTTTGCAGAGTATTTTTGTATACCATCTAGGTAGACATTCAGCAAAAATCAAAACACCTTGGTGCTAAATTAGTGTATTTTATGGTAGTGAAGAGCTTTATGACAACTGCATTAAAGACATTTAACATATGAAGTACAGTTTTCCTGCCTAAAAATGGAAGGAGGGGGAAAAGGTGAGAAGATGTGTTTCTGCTTTTCCAAATTTAAGACATTCTCAGCAATGAAAATTCCTTTACTAACATCCCTATGCCCTACTCCTAAAAAGAAAAAAAGATTGACATTTGAGATTTAGTAGTGGAGCAGATTAAAGCATTTGACTTACCTCTAGGAAATGTAGTTCACATTTTTGATTCAATCAAATTGCAATTAGAGAAGGAGGGAAGACACACAAGGGATACAAATAAGACAAATAACTGATCTAGTCCATTTGGCAGACTTTGCTAAAGAGATGTTCAGGACATGAACAGGACACTGCCTCAGCAGAAAAATGCAAAGAAAGCAATAGAGATAGGTCTATCACACAACATGGAACTAAATTTCTCAGTCAACAAGGTAAAAAAAAATTAAAGTAGATCCCACACTTTGTTGTAGGTCTAATTGGAAGCCAAGCACTATCCATTAAAAAGACTAAACTTCAGACACTGTCATGTAAATTTCTCTGTTATGGCACCATACTAATTTCATTTTGAGTTAACTGGGTTCCCCTTAGGAAGGATACAGTGTACTTTCAACTCTCCTTAGAAATAGTCACTGAAACAAAATAAGTCTTGGCTATTTGTAACTGGGCCAGGGCAAGGTAAACATCATGCAGCTGCACTTAGTTTCTCTCACACTTGCCCTTGCAATCCACACATGAGGGGTGCTTCAGTAAGGTACCAGAAAACAAACAGAAAAAGAATAACTAAGAAAGAGAAAATTAGTATCTTCTGCAGTCACAGGAACCCAAGAATCCACAACATTTCTCATTTATACAGGGGCCATGGTTAAAATAAAAAGCAGTTTCATTGCTGAGATCAACCTATAGGGATTTATTTCTACACAAAATAGAGTAGGTTGGTGTTTTTTAAATATACCTGTGATCTACTTGTATTTAGAAACCTGCTTGAGTACAGAAAATAGTAAACATTCTTTCCAAAAATCTTAAAGATGTTGTCCATTTTAACATATAACCTTTAGCACATTCCTTGAGAGCAACAATGAAGGTTGAAGTTGGTTTATCCTCAGGTAAAACACAGCAGATGCAAAAGCACTGTCAAGTTCCTAACACTGCACTCCTGCCATGTTTCCATCCAGGGTTCCCTCCTGAGAGGTGCCAGAGGATGCTGGGCACATGCCATCCTCTGTGCAGAACCCAGTGAGTCGTGAGCCCCAGGCAGCTCCTGAGTGTGCCATTACTGCTGTCCTGCTGGAGGCATTTGAATAAGGTTAGTTTTAGTGACATGTCTTTGCTGCTGCAGAGCAGCAGAGACAGACACTGACCAAGGGAGCCCCCCCTGGAGCCCAGCCGCTGATAGGCACTGTCACCCTCCACTTGCCCACAGTGGTTTGGTTGGGGCAGGGGCATCAGGGCAGGCATCTATTGTAGCAGTAACCCACGAGATCAGGGTTTCCACTATTAAGGTGTTAATTTTGCTACATAATACAACTAAGCAACAGCAAACCAGAGCTGCAATTTAAGTACACAACACCTACTGAACTGTAAGATGCAGGTCTCCAAGGCAAACCAGAAGCATGAGACAACACCACTACAAGTGAATCTATCTACCTCAGTGGATTTCAAGATTGATATTCACATATACACAGTGCTCATCAGTGACTGAAAAGTTGCTTCCATAAAACCTGTAGAGTCATGGCAACTTCAAATTGTTGACTTTATTGCATGTGTTAAGACACAGTCATGGTAAATCAAAGAAAGAACTCTTTTTTTCACCAAAACTCTGCCCAAGCAAGCCTACTTCATGAATGCTCTCTAGAAGTTTCTTTAAATATTCCAGTAAAGACAATACATGCATGGTGACTTCTGGTGAAGAATATACTGCTATACTCCTAACACTTTAGGACAAAACTCAGAAGAAAGGACATGATATAAGTTTAGGATGAAGTATTTTGTAAACATCTTTGGGCTTAGAAATGACAGGTTTGACATGAAAATATTAATGATGTTGACAACATTGTAACAAATGCCTCTAACAGAACCTTGACTAGAAACCTCTGGAAGTGTTTGGAAAGACTGTAGTAAGATGTGTCTAGAGTGCCTGGTAATGACACAACATTATCTTATTAAGCACTCACAGAAATAAAATAGTCCCTCCTTGGGCATTTCTGGAAAATTCCATCAGAGCTTACAGGTGTCATAACGATGACATTCACTAGGACTACAACTACTTCTCTTCCTCCTTCTCCCTCCTTTTTAACAGATGAGAAAGCAATCATGTTTATTGTAGTCACACATTAATATCGCGAAATGCCTTGGGTATATAAATCTACTGAAATTCTTACCTCAGATGATTTTGAGTTTTCATAATATATACCTTGAACTAAGTCACCAATAGCACTTGAAATGAGTTCCACAACCTGTAAAAGAAAAGTAGAAAAAAACTTACATCTTTAATTATCACCAAATTCACTAACAAAGCTACTGGCAGATTTCCAGAGAGACAAACCACAATAACATTCCTTGCAGAAAGCTAGTTGTGAAAGACTGAAGGATTTACTAAGATTTGTTCTGCACAAGCATGATGCTGTGCCTCTGCTAAAACCTCTACAACAGTTAACTCTTCTATCAAAGTTTTAAGTTAATATAAATGAAAAGCAAGACTTGTTTTTCCTAAAGTGTGAACTATGGAGTGTATTCTCAAAAGGACGTTCACAGAAGTAATAAATCCCAGTTCATGAATATGAGACAGTACCTCATCTGGGCTTTGCTTTGTTTTGGTTTTTTTCCTGCCAAGTAAATACTTCACAATACCTCTCCCTGGGAGCTGTTAAAATTCTAATCTTCATGGCTAACACAGAAAAGTCAGAATCCATAGAAAGGTAACCTTTCAAATGTGATCATTTGGTATTCGTGTGCCCTGGGAATGCACTGTGGATGTATTTAGTGCATGGCCTGAGGCTCAGCTGTACCACATACACTGAAAGTCTGCAACATAGGAATGTTTAAATCAGATTTATCAATCTGTATTATCTTCAGGGTTCAGACTTTTTATTTTATTCAAGCAAAGCCTAAAAATCTGAACTTGATCCAGAATGTAAAACAAGCAGTCCATGGTCTCCCTGAGACTGTGGAACTACTGTACAATTTAAAGTTGCGCACATGAACTGTCTTAATTGGAACAAAATACTCAGATTTATTGTAAAATTAAATGCAGGCATTTCAAATAAGCACACCTTAAGGCTACCTTTTCAGTTGCTCACAAAGTTTTAATTTCTTGAATGTTTAATTTCCTATGCATATGAATCTGTATCTGATTCCTCTTTTTGCTTCCTAAAATTCAACATAGCTCTTATTGAATTAAAAGATTTAGTTTCAATTTTTATCATTCCTGTAACTGAAGACAAGAAGTCAAATGATAAACCCCCTAACAGAAAGATATTCTAACATTTAGGCATGCTTTATTTGATAATGAAAACACATTTGTATGATAGTTTTGAGCACTAGCAAAAAGGTTGTGTTTTCTTTTTTTTTTTTTAAACACTGGTTCATATACATATTCATATACACACAGCAAGTGCTAACTTTAGAAATGGTGCTGATTAAAAGTCATGTTTTTTCTTGCAATGCATATGGGTTAATTTGCAAGACCTACAAAAACAGCCTGGGAAAAAAAAAAAAAATCACATTGCCCTTTAGGAAATTAGATACCGAAGAAATATTGTAGCAATATGAGCTGCTAAGGAACTGAAAGGACAATGATCCTACAGTGTTACCAGATGTGTTGAGTTATTTAAGTGGGGAACAGAGAAAATGAGGGCCTTTTTTTTTTTTTAAGCAACACCCCCCCCTTTTTTTTTTAAGGTATCAGATAAGCCTTATTCCCAAATCCAGGAGGACTGAGTATCGCCAATAGGTCTATGAAAGTCTGTAACTAAATGCCCAGGATCAGATTGTATTACAGTTTATACAAGCAACATCCCAAGATTCTTCTGATGGCTAGGACACATAATACAGATCAATCACTCACTAAAAAATGTTATGGTTTGTGAAATGGTCTGAGCTCAGAGACCTACACTGGTAATACGAAGAGGAATTTACAAAGACACTGAGTCCTACTCTAAATGTCAAAGTGATAGTATGAACTTTTAACAATGCAGCTGGCTCTGGATAACTAGACCTTTTCCTCTCTTGCCTGAAACTCTAGACTGAGCAGAACCCTGTTTTGGGGTTTCTTTTTTCCATCTCTACTCCCTCTTTTTCATGGAACTCTACTCTCAAAGGCAATTTTAAATGTCTTAAAACAAGCTTGGTGAAACATTTGTGAACAACTGTATCTCCTCCTCTTATGAGTTTATAAAACATCTTAGGAGAATTACACGTCAGCTATTTAGAAGAATCTTTATATTAAATATCATTAGGCCTTTAGTGATACATTGAACACTGTATGTTAGTGAGAACTTAATACTAATATTAACTCCCTTCTTTCCATATATATATATATATATATTTTAAAGAATATTTTTTAAGGTAAATGTAAGGCCATACAGTTTACTACCAGGAATGAAATTCTAGTTTCAAGAGCACAGTGGGATGCTTGCATGAGGCTCTGTCACCTCACCTATCCTTAATCTGATCTATGAAAAGCATCTGCAGCAAAACGTCTGTGGCCTGGGGTCCTGAGCGCTGGGGAAAGAAAAGAGAAATGAGGGAACCAGGTAATTTTCCTCTGCATTCCAAAACGGCATAGAGGAAGAAAAAATATTACAGATTCAGTAGTATTCATTCAATGATACACTGTCTAGTTCTTATGTAGCACTTTTCATCACAAAATTTGAAAGCAATCAACATCCCTGTAAAATATATTTCCCACTGTTTTATATAAGGGGAAAATGGTGACAACGAACTGATTTCCCACAAAACCATACAGCATGCCAGTGGAAGAGCAGAAAACAGTATCCAAGTTATCCCCATTCTCATCGGTGCCTTTTTGCCTGACGAGTGCCCTGTTCCACTTCCCGGCATTTCTGAGAAGCAAGTCTGAGAAGCAGGAAAGAAAGGTAGATGAAAAATGAAGTGCTCTCAACTGCTTCTCTTCTCATTTGAACGTTGAGCTCCATTTTAAACAAGTTCAGAGATGGGGAAAGAGAAGAAAGGATCACCAGAATTAGTGCTTGAAAACAGCAGCAACTCAAAAGAGACCAAAGGCAGGCTATTTATAATCTCTCTTCCCACTATTTTCTACTACTCTGCATGTTTTTGAGAAGCCTGATTCCTCATGGGTACTCGAGATGAGCAGGAGTAACATCACATTGAGAGAAAACAAACTTCCACTCTATTTTTCATTTTCCACTCTGCATCAGCATCTTCCAAAGCGCTGCGTTTTCTGCTCCCCCTAGAGCGTCCACAGGGCTGGGAGTGGACCAGGGGATGACCCATTACCTGTAGGTGACAAGTGCACATGCAAGTGATTTCATAGCCTTTAAACACCTTTTGCAACAGTTTCACCAGTGTATCTTTTTTTCCCTAAGGAGGTATTACTTCAACACCTTTCTAGGGATGTGATCTATTCTGCTTTTAAACGGTCAACATAAAGGCCATCAATTTAGGATGAATACAGGGAAAAGAGACAGATTGTTAAGGCTAAAATCTCTCCTACTGTCTAGGCATACTAAGTGTATAACATGATGTAAATTCTAGATACAACCACTTGATTGCTCATTCCATAACAAGGTAGAATACATGCTCTTACCTCTCCAATTCATTCAAATATGAAATAGTCCAAAAGACTGTGGTATGTTTCAGTGCCAGAAGAGTTCTGGAGGTTTAAAGATCTTTAGGTTCCGTAGGTTTAAAGAAATTTGGTGAAACTGAATTTACCCTTTTCTGGGGTAGTAACTTATTTGTCAAAAACGCACAGCTTTAGCCCTTCAAGGTTCTTCAAATTTACTTCAAGTCTACTTTCTCGAGCTCAGAATTTCTAAATATTAATTGAAGAAATAAATCAAAACATTGGTAATTCACTTAGCTGTTCAGAAAATCACCCAGGACATTCAACCAAGCACATACCTCCCTCCTTTTCCAGAAATCAGAATTTCATGTAGTTTACTGAGGACCTCTCTATAAGACAATTCAGAGTTCAGAATTCATCATACATGATGACACAGAACAGGGCCATATTCAATGTTGCAGGTACAGCATCCCAGTTCATGCAGGGACTGCAGTTGACTGTCCTGCACAAATCAAACTCTATCTATAGAAAAAGAGGCATATTTTAATTAAAGGGAAACTTTATGTTAGAAAGACTGCAGGGAAATCACAGAATAGAAGACATTTTGGTAGAATACTTTCTTTGAAGCTACAAGATAAGATATAGACTCCATCAAGCACAGTAAAAACAATGGATTCTAGGCCCCACTCATCCTTCATGGGATTTCTAAATAACCTGGATGAAAGGACAACACTGATGCCATCAGTTTAGTAACTTGAGTCCTTTGCTCCCTTCACTTGTCTTCAAAATATTTTCTTTTAAAAGTTTACTGCAATGTAACTCCGCATATGTATCTTTTCCTGGGTTTCCTTCTAATTTAAAAAAAAAGGAATGAATTTGAGTTCCATTCAAAGAATGGTCAATTTATTTTAAATTCAGCAGCTGAAGTAGAATTGGTTACACAGATGACTCTATTTCAGAGTAGTAATATAGTGTCTCTCCAGACTCTACCAGATATTTTCAAGGGGAACATCATGGAAAGGATGAAGCTCTTGCAGGAAGACAGGAAACATTACTAGGAAGAACACAGCAATGGGTATATCTTTGTTCTTCATCCCTCATGATTTCTATTTGACAAACTTCCTTAGCTCTGCCAAATTCCTTCCAAGAAGGACCACAAGTAATTCCTTCCATCCTTATGTTGAAACTATATCCTTTCCTCACACATTTGCTATGACAGACCCTAATACTTGCTGCTGATATGTAGACTTGAAAATGTTGCAAGGCTTCCCCATACAAGTAAAGAAGAAAACTAAATAGTCAGGAAACATTAAATACACAGACAAAAATTCCTTCAACTTGAATTTCGCTTCCCACCACAAACAAGCACTTATTTGGGAAATATTTCCACTCTTAAAAATTATACAGAAAGCTCTTAAAATTAAATATTCTCCTGCATTTGACACAGAAACATTGCAACACTAGGAAGCTAAAGACAAGACTCACCAAACAGCTGAAATTGGATTTTGAATTAATCAATAATACCTTAAAAAAAAAAATTAAAAAGGGGGGGAGCAAAGACTGAAAGGAGTTCCAAGAACAGTGGAATTAAATTTTCTTTCCTGGTAATCTCAAACATCATTAGTCATACAGGGGTATGACTAAGTGTGACAGCCTACAGAATGTTTTGGGGGTTTAATGAATCCTATT